ATGGTGTACCAGCCACTCCTCCCTGTGCAAATATGCTGAGGGTGCACCCTGTCCCATTTTTATGAAGATGTTGAACAGGACTGGCCTCAGTACTGATCTCCAGGGCACAGTCACTGCCCTCCAGCTGGACTTTGTGATGTTAATCACAACACTTTGCACCTACCAGTTCAGTCAGTTTCAATCCAACTCACTTTCCGCTCACTAGTCCATACTTGATCTGTTTGTCTGCGAGGATGTCATGAGAGAGAACATTAGAAGTCTTATTTATGTCAAGATAAACAACATCAGCTGCTGGTACCTCAACTGCCAAGCCAATTGTCTAATCAGAGAAGGTTTACCAGCTTGGTCAGATGTTATTTCTCCATCATCTCAATTCTAGGATAATTGTTGGTGGTAATGAATTGATAATGAATTTATTATCTCAGTTTTAGTATTTAGCCTGAAAAGAAAATTGAAGGTATTTGATTTTCAGATCTCTTTTCTAAGCTGATCAGACTTCTGCACAAAGGCAGAAACAAGTTGTTTTTCTACAAGATTCCAGTTTTATCCATCATGCTGTGAGATGTGACTGCTGAATGGAAGTGGAAATGTTCATTGAACAATGACTCTAGAAGAAAGTGTTGAATACTTAATTTGATCATTGTGCAATTGACCATACTCATTCAGCTGGTCTCTGCAAGAAAAAACAAAGCTGGAGAAATAGTATTTCATTGTCCCAAGGAATGGATGACTAAGGGAGGTATCTGAGTAATCTACCTTACCTTTATTATTTCCCACAATGAATAGTAAGTAGTCCTTCCCAACAGGTAGACCAAGGTTTTCAAAAATCTGTAAACTCAATAAACTGCTTCTGTCTCCAGCTGATTTTTTGGCCCAGTTTGCTCAGCCATCCTGTAAGTCCATATTTTACAGGTAAGATTTTGGGAAGGACTCTGAGGCTATGCACAAACATAGGCTGAGAAACCTGCTTATATGCATCAGCAGCTACACTTTAGCACAGGACTGAGTTAAGTGAGGTTCTTTTAACTGCTTAATCATGATAAAAAGGTATTTTCAATAACCTTCTTTGCTTGGAAAAAGAAGAAATCTGTTTCGAAGCAGCAGAGAAATAACCTTCACTAAAAAAAAAGGAGATGTAAGGTCCTAAGTCCCTGAGCTGCACCTCACCATAGCTATGTCTGCTCAAGCTCAGGGATACGAATTAGATCAGAGCTTCAGTGCAGGCATTCAATTGAATAATCAAGTTTAGAGTAGACAGTCATGAATGAGAATGAAGGAGACTAGATTTTATTTTTTTTTTACTGCTAAAGTGAGTGCCAGAATAATTCACTGACAAAGTGAAAGGGTATTTCTACTGAAGAGAGAAACCTGGAAATGCAGTGGAGGTTGTTATTATATTAAGAGCTTGGTTAGTTATTTAAGGGGCTGAGGCACTTAAAAAGTCCTTCAGAAATCTGGTCTTTAAAGATTCTTTCAGTTTGTCACTAGATGTCAGCCTGCACCTTCAGGTCCCTATTGTTCTATAATGATGTGCACCTCTCTACCAGCGTCCCACCAGCAGTCTGAACACGGCAGGAGACCAGTCACAAAAACCTCTTCAAGGACTCCCTAAGTATTGTTTTGTATCCTTCAGCCGTGTTTATTTTAGTCCATGAAAAGGTGATTGTTACAAATGAAGACATGAATATATGTAGGAAACAGGAGCGTTTGTGAAGCATGTTGTGCTGATTACTTAGGAAACCAATGGATACCCAGCAGGATTTGTTGCTGTTGAGCTGGGAAGACCCTCTGCTGAGACCACACACCTGAGGCCATGTGCACAATCAGAGTACCTTCCTCTCAAGGGCCTGGTGAGTTCCCCTGCCTGTGCAACTCAGAGCCCGGATTTCATGCTCTGTTAGCTGGGATTCACAGCATGTGTGAAGCGGAACTTCTCTCTGCTCAGGCATAGCAGTACTCTTTGGCCATGCTGGACACACACTGACCTGCACAGCCTGAGCTGCTGGTCCAGCCTAAACCAGCATTTGGTGTGGATGGGTTGTGCCTCTTTCAAACAGCAGATTCCTGGCCTGGTAGATCAGCAGCCTGAGTGAGAGCTGCCCCTTAAGTCTCTACACACCCGAGGTATTTTCCTGTTTGGGTGATTTGGCAAATGTAATGTTTTTATGTCTTTAATGCTCAGACACCTGGAGTTTCCTTGCTAGTATTCTGGGGTAACTATGGGTTGTTTTGAACTCCATCTATTTTACTGTGTTGGTTTGCTGGCATAAAATTATGTTTACATTTACACAAAAGCACAGGGGTTTTGCCACACTGAGCACCACAGAGGATGTCTTTTAGGTAGTTTGCTATCTACTGAAATTCACAGTCATGCTTTAGACACTTGGATAGCTCTTTATTTAAAGCACAAGAACATTTAAGCATCAGAGAGAGAATAAATTCCCAGCAAGTTAAGCAAGAAATTATGCTGCTCAAAAGCAAACAGTAAGTAGTGCATCTGGCCGTGAGATTCCTCCTGTCTCCTTAATTTGGATACTTTCTCCTGGCCTATAGAGAGACATTATATCTCCCTGAATTCCAGACTTAAGAGTTCCTGGTATCTTTTTCTCATACAACTGTGCAGATTCTCTCAGAATCTGTGAGACTCAAACGAATTTTTTGCAAATCCTTCAACTCACGAGCCTGCTATACCTGTAGAAAGGCCTCAGATTCTTGCACAGCACACTGAAAAGTTAATTGGACCAGGACCTGGGAGCAAGTTAAGCATTGTTTTTGGAAAGCAGAGACCTAGAACCCAGACCTGGATCCAATTTCTCTTCAGTATTTACAGTGAATTGAGACAATTCCTCTTCGGAGATTACACCCTAACCACTCTGCTGCCAGGTGGTGTTTGAGGGCTTACTTTCCCCTTCTGTTCCAGCAACAGTGAGCAATTCATGCAACAGGAAACTGTTTCAAGCCGGAGAGTTTGAGCACATTCACAAAGTAGCCCAGAGGTTCAGTCGTTCCCCTGGGATGTGGAAGGGGGGAAGCTGGATCTCTCAGGCTGTGTGTGAGAGCTATGCCCCCTAACTCAGCATTTCAAACAGGAAGAGGAAGGAGCATAATCTGCAGACACACACTGAAGGTGGGACCAAAGAAGCACATCTAGACATAGATTCAAAGGGATGGAGGGAATGAGTTAAGTTTACAGCCTCTCCTGACTTAGTGTGGCATGGCACAGTGTCTCCTGTGTCAGGATGCAGAGTTGCCTCCCTTGCAGGATACACAGCGTGGCCAGTCCCAGCAGAGATATCCCCATATCTGTATGAGCACAGAGATAAGTGCTACAGAATTAAGCTGATTTAGGCATGCTCAGGAGCAGATTTCTAGGCACAAAAAAATTTCACTAGAAAAAGCTTTAAGTACCTATAGACTTACACTGATAGCCAAGTCAGGATTTAGGAAGTCAGAGAGGCAGTTGTACAGTACTTAGATGCTCAAGTTCTTCTGTGGATATATCCGACCTCTTCAGAGTCTTTGTGTCTGTGTAAGCGTGCCCATCAGCTGGCAGCTCATCTCTCTTGTTCTTCTCCAGACACCTTGGAAATAAGCATCTTCCTAGTTAGCAAGTGCCCAAGGCTGTAGAAGTCCCTTCTGCCTTGAAAAAAAAAACTTCCCCTTACAAGTAGCAGAACCAGCTGCTTTCAGACCAATCCCAAATTTTACAACAGGAGTTACCAACATGTACAGTAAACAGAGTCTGAAAACCATAATTGCCACTAATGGAACTTCAGTTTTCTCTGGACAGAAACAGCAAGTTTCTTCCACATCAGTACTGAAACAACCCTCTATATAAACACATTTTTAGCAGTCAGGCAGATGTTGGAGTTAGACTGCAAGGACAGGGACTGGAAATAGAAAAGAGTTTTGAATATCATATTTAAATAATCATCTCACACGTAGCATAAGGAATTAATGAACTTGTGTTCTGTAAATAAATGAGAACTGTTGCATTTCTCCATCTTTTAAAGCAAATATTTTGACCTTTACATTTTAAATTTTTTTTCCTCATAATTAAAAATAAAATTTAAAAAAGTAAATATATAGCCTTACCATAAAAACTTTCACAGCTTAAAAATACACTTTGTCATCCCCATAAAAGTTCATTTCAGATCACCTCAAATTATTTCCTGGGTGTTTCTCTGGAACACAGGCTGGGTCAGGCATTGTCCCTGACACTCTCTAAGCTACAAAAGTGCTGACCTGCAGGCCCTAGGGCTGATCAACTGAGAGTTACTGAACTGGAGTTAACTGAAACACTGGTAAGTGTCAGTGCAGACCCTTAGCAGAACAAAAGCCATTGTACTTGGTTTTAACTGAACCCAGAAGTATCCCAGAGCAAGTGACGTAAAGTGTCTAAGATTGTTTCTTTCTCCCCTGTTTGCTTTATTATTGTTATTATTATTTTATTTACAGTTGTGCTGGTTTCCTGAAGTGAAATATGAACAGTCTGAAGTGCAGCAAGAATAAAGCCTGCAGCCTCAGTGCCCTGGGAAAGATGCTGCCTTGCTCCACATTGCCTTGAACAGTGAAGTTTTCCTCCAACAGCCTGGAGAGAGCCTGGGGAACACAATGTCAGAGGGTTCACACCCTCCCCTCCAAACCCAGACAAAGCAACACCTCCCCATCAAGATGCAAGTTCTGTCCTTGGGTTTCTCCTTGGATGTCTGGGTTGCTCTACATCCTGGCAGCTGTTGAGGGGTTGGGGGTAGCTAGAAAAACATATCCTGCACAGATCTGGAGGGAAGTACAGTGCCCCTTGTCCCCTCTCTTTCACAGGTCCCTCAAAGAGGAGAAAGGGGCTAAGCCTTAACAACAAGAGCCCTGTACCCACTTGTCCTGGCTGTTCCGATTAGGGCAGGTTTGAAATAGGACATAGGCTGTCTGATCCCTGTGCCCGCACTGGAGCCCAGGGAGCAGTGACTACAGTCAGGCTGGCACCTTTTACAATGTCCTTCTCCCTGCCACAGACAAACACACGGGGTGGGAGGGCTGCTGGCCTCTTGCTGCTTACAGTTCCAACTCGGGGGGACACAGTCAAGGCCTCCCAGCCTCACTCCACTCCACGCAGCCACTCTACTTCCTGTGGTACTTTACAAGTCCTGTGTCTTCCCTAGCTGGAGTAACCATCACCCTCCCCAGTTTTCTGTGACCCAGAAAATGTACAAGCACTAAAAGGCATCTCCTAGAGACACCTCACCTTCTGCTCCTCTTTTCCAGGTTGGGGCGTGTTTTCATCAAGCATCTAAGGGCAGACACAGCCGCAGAAGAGCATCTCTCACACGGAAGTCCTCCTTCACCCATCCCTCCTCCCCTCGTCCCTGGCAAGGCGTTCAATATCCCAGGGCCACACTTTTCCCAGAGCCCACAGTCCCACCCCCTACAGCCCCCTGCCGGTCTCAGCAGCGATGCTCCATGGAGTTGGCAGGCAGCAGGTCACAGCGGCTGCTGTACATCACCACCCCGGGAGGGTAATAGGCCACCTCCGGCTGGATGGCGGCAGCAGGGGAAGCAGCAGTGACAGGGTGGACAGGCACAGGCACCAAGGCATGCAGGGCCTGCTCCTCCTTCTCAGGCTTGGTGGTGTCAGTGAAAGGGCGCATGGTGGTGAGGGAAGGTGAGGTGATCTTCCAGAGGAGGCTCTTCAGTGCCTTGCGAAACTCCCTGCGCATGAGGCAGTAGAGGATGGGATTGAGGCAGCTGTTGGAGTGTGCCAGGCACACGCTGATGGGGAAGAGGTACACTTGGGAGAGGAAGTACTCATTGCTGAAGTGCACCACGTTGAGTTTGATGAGTATCCCCCACGTTGTAAGTGCTTGATTAGGCAGCCAGCATAAGAAGAAAGACAACACCACGATGGACACTGACCGAGTCACTTTGGAGCGGCGCTTGGTGCTGGGGCCACTGCAAGTGCTGCCAACGTGCTTGCCAGTGATGAAGCGGACCAGGAGCAAGTAGCAGAGACAAATGATGACCAGCGGCACCACAAAGCCCAGCAGCACCTTCTGGATGTGGTACAGACCCAGCCAGAACTGGCCATTGCTGCCTCGGCCCTCTGGGAACTTGACAAGGCAGAGAACATCATCAAAGACAGTGGCAGTAGTGGAAAAAATGGCATGGGGCAGGGAAGCCAGGACGGCTAACAGCCAGATGAGTGCACAAAGCCACTTGGCAGAGCAGCAGCCACCCAGGGGGTCTCCTCGACGCTGATTCTTCAAGGCTGAAGCCACAGAGCGGTATCGAGCCACACTCATGGCAGTGAGAAAGAATACGCTGGCGTACATATTCATGGCTGTCACATATGAGACAATCTTACACATTGCCTTGCCAAAGAGCCAGTTGAAGTCTAGTGCGTTCTCCACTGCCCAGAATGGCAAAGTCAGCACAAACTGGAAGTCAGTCACTGCCAGGCTGGTCACAAAGAGGTTGATGGAGGATTTTCTCCAGCCTTGCTTGCTTTTCATCAGGTAGAGCACCAGCAGGTTGCCCACCAGCCCCAGGGCACACACCACGGAGTACACCAGCGAGATGACAATCCGCACCACGTCAGAGTTGTCTCCCTGCATCCCGTCAGCTCGCTCCAGGTTGATGTTCTTGAGCAACTGCAGGAAGGACACGTTGCTCCTGTTGTCCATCTGAGCGCCCTCCAGGAAACCCAGCGGGGCTTCCCAGGACTCCCGGTCCGCTCCTTCTTTCATGCCAGCGGCCGGCGAGGAGTCACCGCTCTCGCAGGGCTCGCCCATCCCATGCTAGGGTGGGAGACGGGTCCGCGGGAGATTTTTTTCCCCCAGAAGCAGACCGGCAGAGGCAGCGGGGACAGGACACGGGTTGTTCCCGGCTGGATGGACGGCACAGCTGCTCGTGGCTGGGTGGCGCGGCTGTTTCCAGTTGGAAGGACGACACTCCCGCCTCCGCTCCCGCTCCGCGCCGCGCTTATATCCGCGCCGGCGGGGCCGGGGCATGCGCGGTGGGCGTGGAGCTCTCCCGGGTGCTGAGCGCGGCTCCCCCGCTCCCTGACCCGCCGATCCCGGCGGCTGCTCCCCACGGATCGCCCCCGCCCCGTCCCGCCTACCTGTGAACCAGCCGGGAGGTGCGTTCCCTCGGGCTGAGCTCATCAAGCGCCCCGCCAGAGGCGATGCCCCCTCCGCCCATGCGATTCCCCCCACCCCGATGTGATATCCCCGATGTGCGCCCCGTGGGTCAGCTCCCGCAGAAACCCCCAGCCTTCCACCCCCTGCGAGGGGAGCAAGTGCTGGGGGCGAGTTTCAGCCCCGCCGAGCCGCGGGGTGAGCCTGAGACAAGCTGAGCTCCCACGCCTGAGAAAACTCGGCACCAAGCCGGAGCGCGCCTCGCCATCCCCAGAATGACCACGTTCCGAACGGCGGCTGACGAAAGCCTCTCCTGCTTTTGGGACGTTGGGAGATGGTGGCTCTCCCTAATTTTAAAACGAACGGCACGTACAACGAAGCTGTAAAGTCCGGCTGGTTGTGGCACGCAGTACTTGGACAAAGGGAAGAGCGGGAGCAGCCGGTTCCGCCGGTGGGGAGGCGGAGGGGCGGCCGCGGGATCCCACCCGCAGGGGGCCCCGTCGCGCCGGGAAGCTGCGGTGGCCGGCCCCGGCCCCATCCCTGCCGTTCTTGGGGCCCGAAACTCACCTCCCCACCAAGTCTGCAGCAGAAAGATAAAGCAACCGACGGGAGTAAGGAACGGAGGTTTGCCGTCTCCCCTCCTGCTTTTAAATAAACCAAGATAACCGCTCATTTCGAAAACCAAATAGATTCTAAATATATCTAAATGAAGCACTGTGAATCAGCCACCAGGGGAAGATTAACGGAACATTTAACAAGTAAATTATTCCTCCATTGATTTATCTCACTGAACTTCCTACACACATCATTGTGTGTGCCATTTGTTGCCAGCAGTCCACTCATCACTTTGGTTTATATCTACAGAAACCCTGTAAAAGTATCAGCCAGATCATGGTATGGGAGTTTTAAAGGGGAACAAGAGTAATTAGGAAGTTTTATATATCATTCATATTACATGTAATGAATGTAATTACCGAATTATGCAATGCTCTGGGAAGACAGCCTCCAGATTACTCGCTATACTAAATATATTGGTATTAGAACGACATACTAAATTAAAAAAAGGGCCTTCAGAAGCCTGACTGCAGGAGCCCTTGAAAAACGGACTCCTAACATTTCTTCCTGTCATGGTTTAACCCCAGCCAGCAACCAAGCACCACATAGATATTCACTCCCCCACCAGAGGCATGGGGAAGAGAACTGAAAGGGCAAAAGCTAGAAAACTCATGCATTGGGATAAAGACAGTTTAATAGGAAAAGCAAAAGTTTGCTCACAAACAGAGCAAACCAAGGAATTAATTCACAGCTTCCCGTGGGCAGGCAGGTGTTCAGCCATTTCCAGGAGACAGAGCTCTATCACAGTTATTCAGGAAGACAAAATCTGTCACTCCAAACGTCACCATCTTCCTCCTTCTTCCTCCCGCTTTATTTACTGAGCATGATGTCACAAATGTCACATGGTCTAGAACATCCCTTAGGTCAGTTTGGGTCACCTGTCCCAGCTGTGTCTTGTCCCAGCTTCCCATGCCCCCACAACCTCCTTGCCAGCGTGGCACTATGGAAGGCAGAAAAGGCTTTGGTTCTGTGTAAACACTTCTCTGCAATTACAGAAACATCTCTACATTATCAGCTTTGTGTTCAGCACAAACCAGATATACATACCAGCCACTGTGAAGAAAATTAACTCTACCCCAACTGAATCCAACACACTTCCACGCTTTCTCCAAATTATGGATTTTTTTCCTAGGCTCCCATACCTCCTAAACACTGACTAGGGTCTCATTCAGGAGGCATTTTCAATGGTAGAGCATCTCTTAGCCTGCTGAATGGCAACAGTTCCTCAAATTCTCTCATGGAGAGGAAACCATCCTTGCTGTGAAACTTGACAACCCCATCAGTCCCAGCAGTGTTGCACTCAACTGTAAAACCGTGCATGTGGAAGAGAAAGCCAAGGATCCTTCAATGGCAGTGGAACAACCACATAAACAAGCAAAGTGAAAACAGTGAGTTTCAATCAGAGCTGTAGCACTGCAGAGACTCTGTAAAGAGTGCAGGAGGTGAGGTGCCCACCAGCCGCCTGCAGTGATAGCTGCCTTGGCACTAGTGTCAGCACTTATCCAAAACCAGGGTTAGTAATATATTTGCAACAAGCAAGTTCTTGTTCAGTTTTGCCTCTCTACTTGGTCCTGCTACCATTAGCTCACAAGGTAAAAAAAAAATCTGAAATCCAGTCATACAGAGGCTATGATTCGTTCACTTGGTAAATCATTAGAGAGACTGACAGTGCAGAAGTGGATTTTTTTCCACACTGAATTCTGCCCCCGTTCTCATCACATTGCAAGCTTCACACCCAATTTTAAATATTTTACTGGAAAAACTGCAGCAAGAATGTCTTACATAGAATAATTTCTTCTAACATTTATTTTGCTCGGCACATCTTGTTGATACATAACAGAGGCTGAAAAGTAACAATCATTCAGAAAGGTGAGGAGGATGGAAACAATGCCCAAAGATACACTGCTTTTTCTCTTAGTCACCCAGAGAAAGCCACAAAGTGTGAGAACTTAGGTATCTCACAGGAACACACTGGCAGTGAACTTTAAACTCAGGGCTGCAAGTGTGAAATGTTTTCCAAGGTTTCTGCTCATATTTTGAACACCAGACAAATCCCTTTTTAGCCTTGGGTGGAGTATATTTTTCTTCTGTCATTCTTCATCTTAGAGAAGTTTTAGAGGCAGGTAAGGAAACTTGCTACACTTAGATGAATAATAAAGGAAATATCTGCTGAATAATTTAACACATTGTCAGAAAACTTCCATAACTGGAAAAATGTTAAAAAAGCCATCAGTTACTTTCAAAAAGTATTGCCAAATTCATCAGATACAGGACCCAAGGCTCAATGTTCTGGAAAATATTGTCTTCTGTTTGTTCCCTATTCATTTCACCAATGCTGCCAAAGGCTTGTTGTTAATATGTAACTTTTCAGACTCTTCTTTTTATCAAAGTGTCAGTGTAACTGGTGTTACTGACTCAACTTTCTGAAAACTAAAATAAACTTGATAGGCATAGGCTTTTGTGATGTATTCTGGTGATAACTGTGAAAAAATGGCTGATTTATTTATTTTTGAAATCTCAAAGAGATCCTGCAGGGTTTCTAAGAGGCTTTTTTGGGTATATATAGTATTATGCTAAAATAATCCAAGGGGTTGAGGTTGCTAGATTGCCTGCAGACAGGATCCATCAGCACAGTAAACTTAAGAAGCTTTCACCAGTTCAGGTCACCAACAGAAGCTGCCCATTGATTCTGACCATATTGTATCACAGATAAAAGAATTCCTGCAGGTGTTTCTAAAATAGCATTTAAAAATGTTTCAGATAAATATGCAAAAAACCCTCCCAACATCTGCTGAAAATTATAATTTTTCTACAATTCACCCTAAAGAATTCTTATAATTTTTCACTCCCTTTACAGACCTTGTACACAAACTACAGTTTTTCACTACTATTTTGCTACAATTTTACTACAATTACAACAGTGACTGAACCACCTGGACGCTCTTCTGCAATGTTTTGCTAATGGAGATGGGTTTCTGTTTTCAAAATGAAAGTAATTTTTGTAGCTTAAAATAGATTATTGAAATGTTGAATATATCACTTAACACAGAAACAGGGGACTATTTCTCTGGGTATTTTTATAGCAGAAAGGGATGTTTAATTATTTTTCTTTTCTATTTGACATGCTGAAGTAAAATGTAATAATAGGAAAGCTCTTGAACAGATTTCTTTAAAAAGAGTTAGTAATATATATTACTTTAATGGGTTTTACATTATCCTTAAGTGTTGCATTCTTGCTATTGCATTCTGTTTATGAATAATTCTTTTTATGGCATTTTCTTTCCATTAAAACAAAATTCTGGAGGAACAGAAGGAAACAGGAAAAGGAAATCTCACATTTGTTTATTTTCTCAGTTCCGATTTCTGGAATCCATATGGTCTTCCTTTGGCTCTTTATGAGCTGAAGGCTACAATCTCATGCCTTTGACTAAATTCAGACAATAACTGTTACATTTTGAACTACATTTTACAACTCTACTTTCTCCATCCTGGGAGTGAAGGTGTGGTGTGACTTGGTGTGTGAAGATTTTAATGGCAATTTTTTTATTAAAATTGTAGTAGGAAATGTATAGAGGTTTTCATTACAAAATGGCAGTTAGATAACAAAATGACCACACAGTGCTTCATAGTATGCTTCATGAACCACAGAAAGTATCATTTGGACACAGAAGTAAATTTTAATTCAAGAAATCCCCAAATCACTTTAATTCTGTTCATCTCCTCCCATCATTTGCCTTCTAGACCAACCACTGAGAACATATTTTTCTGGCACGAATTTTCATTAAAAATTAATTTCAATGTGGCCTGTTGCTCCAGAAATATGCTTTTAAACAGTTAATATGGATAGTATGACAAATGAGTTTTTAAATTCACATAGTCCAAGAACAAAATTATAAATTTGGGAATTAGCTCACCACTTAAAAGTAGCAATCAATGTTTGAAGACTGATCAGGAATTTGAGTGTGAGTCTCCCAAAAAATTTCATGTAATAGAGTCACTGACTACTTTAGAGTTTGCCTCATTCTAATACTTGGATCTGCCCACAGACATACCATAAGTGGAATGTCAGCAAATATTTTTTTTGCATGAGTAACTTATGAAATTCCAAAAATCTTTAAAACTATAATGAATTGGAAGTTGAGGGATTCAACAGTCTCTAATTCAGTTACCAAAAGTTAGCTATGTTAAGAGGTTGCATCCCTAAATGAGAAAAAAAAAAAAAAAAAGGTACTTACAAACTTCAATCTAAATCTGCCTGAGAAAAATAAATAAATGGATGCAAGAATAATTACTGAACAAACTCCACAGAGTCTTTGGGATTAAGAGTAATTCTCTTTCAGTTCACGTCTCTGCCAATATTCAATGCCTTTAACATGGCCCACCACATCACTTGTGATTCATCTTCTTAACATTTCTAGTCAAAGCAAACTGTTAAGCTGACTGTATAGTTAATAGATAATCAGGTCCGGACACTGTTTCACCTTGCACGTGGCAGAAGGGATGTGTCATCCTCCAGAGGTATCTTCTCTCCCTGCTGACTGGAGGAGCAGGCAAGCAAGTGTGTAGTAGATAACTTTCACGAGACTCTCATTCCTAGTAAAGCATGTTTCCTGACCATCTTCAGTGGGCTTCATTTGTAGCAGCTCCTCTATGTGAAATCATAGAATTCGTGTTGTAGTTCTTTGCTGCTCACAATCTCTGCTTTCCTGTTTCTCTATACATTTCTACATACGTGTACATTGCTACACACACATTTCTTTTACTGCTGCCTTGGAAGTCTACTGAAATTTAAAAGAATCCAGATATTGTGTTTAGTTTGCCAATCCAGGCTTGACTGTGTCTCTTGACTGTGACCTTTCATTAAATGTACAGACTTTTCTGTGTGGAGCTGTACTTACTGAACTTCAATAACTTTTTAGCCAAAAGAACACAGTTGATATGGTGCTGTATTCTTCTTATAATTGAGGTTGAGTTGGCAAAAAAAAATTTCAAATACTTTCAAAAAAAGGCTCCAAAACCTCTGCTTATGCCTCTTTGGAACAGGAAACCACTGGGAAGAGACTGTGCCATAAATTCCGTTCACTTAAATAGCTGGCCCCAGTACGTGCTCACAGCAGGAAAGTGCTTTCTACTTGCACCATTTCTTCACGTTTTGACTGGATGTGTGTCCTGGTTTTAGCTGGGATAGGGGTAGTTTTCTTCTTAGTAGCTGGTACAGAGCTGTGTTTTGGACACTGTGACTGTGTCCAGCTACAGCCACAACACCCCTTAAGTAGGAACCCTACTGTCCCCAGGGTATTTTCTGATACTACACCCAGTGAATCATTTCTTCTGTGTATGTGCATGCTGGCAGAAAGCCCAGGGAGTTATAGATGTTTTAGACCAGATTCCCACACTACTCCTTCTCCACTCCATATGACTTTTGCATCTACAAGTTTTTATCCTTAAAAAAAATCCTAACAAAAAAAACCCCCTAAAACCAAAACACATTCCCACATATCCTCCTGAATTCCTAAAGCTTTTTGTTCTCCATCATTTCCAGGATTGGAGAGAATTATAGATAAAAGGAATTAACTTTTCCTGCTGAGGAAGAATACAAGATGGAATCCTGCATGAAATACTGTAATCTCATGTCAGACTCAGTGAATATCTACTCAAAAAGATTACTGGAAACTGAAGCAAATAATTAAATGCCTCTCACAGAAGGACTATTTATCTGATTGCCTTCAAGAAATACATTAGGCTAATACTTCGTAAATCTCTGCCCATCCCTTGGACGGTCACCCCTTCTTTCCAATGCTCCTAGCCTATTCTCCTCATTTTATAGTCTTTTTCCTTTTTATTCCATTTACTGTAGATACATTCTTATCCACAAATTTATTTATTTTAAACTATTCAAGGCAAATTGTGTAACCTGTTCTTTGCAACAATTGTCCAGTGCTTTTTAAATGTTAAATATTATATACATATATAATATCAGTTTCAGGTCACACTTAGGTTTTAAATTAATTTCAGGGAAGTACTGATAAAGAGCTAATCAGGTTATAATACATAATCTCACAACACAGCCTAGTGCCTGCTATCTGAGTAGGCTAAAAATCCTGATGGCAAGCACACCGGGAAACTTGTTGTTGTAACAGATAAAGTTATTCCTATGCAGAATATACAGACAACTATATTAAATACCTTGCAATGAACAAATCTTTTCTTGGCAAGTGCTGTTGGGTATCTTTTGCATAGTTTTGTTCTTCCATTAACTAGAAGAGAGCACATAATGATTCTTAAATCAAGCGTCACTCTTTTATAAATATTGCCTGTTTCCAGAGCTACCTTGTCTCTGTCCTGAGGGAAACCACATTTCTACTGGATCTAAAAGCCTTTAGAGCTTTAACTCTTTTTTTTTTTTTTTGCATTTTTGTGCGTTAGAGTCTGGGATTCACAGTTCTCACAGCAAAGGCTGTTGAACTGTGCCAGCCATTCACCTTGGAAAAGTTTGAGCAGAGAAACATGCATAAATAATCATAGTTTGCCATAAAACTATACAAGAAACCCATGGTGGAGTCACCTTTTGGTGGGAGGCTTTTGAAGTAGATGTGGAACTCAGCCCAACCTGCAAGCATGGGACAGCACCAAAGTGGGCACCCACCTGTGGAGCCTCAGCCTGGTGGCAACCTCGTCAGAGGCCATGTTAGAGGATCCTTGGCATAGAGCACTTGACATGCACTTAAAAATGTAGGTGCCAAGTCTGTTAGGAACTTTCCTTACAAAGGGAGGACATTCAGAAGTAACTCCAATGTAACAGCTAAAACACGCAATGGCCTCGACACCCTGAGTCGTCTTAGGCTGAGTCAGAGGAAGTTTGGGTTGGACATTGGGAAGAATATTTTCACAAAAAAGGTGATTAGACATTGGAATGGACTGCCCAGGGAGGCAGTGCAGTCACCATCCCTGGAGTAGTTTAAGAAAAAGGGAGGCAGTGCAGTCACCGTCCTTGGAGGTGTTTAAGGAAACACTGGACGAGGCATTTGGTGCCATGGTCTTGTTGATAAGGTGGTGTTCGGTCATAGGTTGGACTCGATGATCTCAGAGGTCTTTTCCAACCTAACTGACTCTGTGACACAGTCTGGAAGCTGGGCTCTGACTGCCGAGCACCGAGGAACCGTGGGCTTCGGGCGCCTCAGGCAGGGCGAGACCCGTGCCGTCCCTTCCTGCTGCAGCGGAATGTGGTGGAAAACGCATCAAACTCCCAAGCGCTTCGAGCACTTTCTCCGGCGGCCAGGGGAACCTCTGCCAGGGCGGGTGCGGAGCTACGAGGCGCCTTCCCCGGGCCCTTCAGCGGAGACCACCAGCGTGCGACCGAGAAGGGGATGCTGCCCTTTGCGGGGCTGCTCTCCCCGAGCGCTGCCGGGGAGAACGCCCCACTTCGGCCGCGGTGGAGGGCGGAGGGGGGGCGGCAGCCTCTGTTGGCGGCCTCTCCTCCCCTCCCCTCCCCGTCGGCCCGGCCCGGTTCGCCCCAGCGCGTTAACCCCAGCGGCTCCGAGGCGGGGGCTCTCGGGAGCGGCTCCCTCCCCACAGCCCTCCTTCCTCCGCCGGCAGAAACCAGACACCGGGACGGCCCCGCGCAGCCCTTGTGGGGAGCGGCGCCTGTGTCCGGCGGCGCCGGCAGCCGCCCTGGCCATGCCGCGGCCCCGGTAGGCGCCGGCGGGCCCCGCTCGGAGCCGCCCGCCCGCACCATGCCATGTGTCCCGCGGAGCCGGGCGGCGCGCATGGTCTCCCTCTGGCTGCTCGTCCTGCACGCCCAAGCGCCCTGCCTGGGCAGGGCCCCGCCGGCCGGCGGCTCGCCCTTCCCCGACGGCAGGCAAGGTCAGTGCCGGCGGGTTCGGGGTGCGCGGGGGGAGCGGGTCCCGTCGCGGGTGTGCTTCCAGCCTTCCAGGCTTCCAGCCGGCGGAGCCGCGGCTCCGCGGCGCTGCTCGCCGCCCCTCCTGCCCGAGAAGCGCCGTGCCGGCCCCCGGGGCTGCCCGGGCTCCCTCCCGCTGGCAGCGCTGCCCTGGGCGCCAGCTGGGACGGGCTGCTCTGCGCCCGCAGTTCTGCACCGAGGGCTCAGCGCTCTCCGCTGCGCCTTCCTGCGGCTTCTTGGCAGTCACCGAGTTCCGCTGTGTTGATGAAGGTATCGCCGAACCCTAGTCTTTTGCTGGTCTTTCTCCTTTAGGGGCAACTCTGTAAATGCCAGAGTCGTTTTGTACTAGTAAACTGAGAAAGTTTGCTGTCCTGATTATTTATTTATTTTTTTAAACAAATGCTCGCTTCTGCACTAAAGTAGGGGACGCTACAGAAGGATTGATGTTACCAGGGTTTAACACCCGCTGTGAGCTATTCACATTCAGTGAGGATGGTAATTGCAAGTCAGACTTTATCTGCGGGAGGGGTCTCTTGAGGCTGCCCTGGCAGGTGGGTTTAGTTTTCGACCCCTTTGGTCCTGGAGGGGTGTAACTCGGCAATTTTATCCTGCTACCTGTTTAAGGCAAACCGGAGAAGTGGCTCCTAAGGGACAAGAATTATGATTAACTGGAGGACTCTGCCTGGTAGTAGAAGAAAGTGTAGGAGGAAATTTTGCTTCCTGAAAACCTTTCTGATGCAATTAACATCTGTGGTGCTGTCAGTGGGAGAGCTTGAACGCAGAGTAAAAAGTCTTCTCACCCCTCAGAGAATGGGGAAAGGAAAAGTGTTCAAGTAAGATGCTTGAAAAGTGAACAGTTATCCTGAAGTCAGGTCCTGCTGGATTCATTTAAAGTAAATTCTAGGAGTTACTACATTCCAGTGATTCTACATGGGACAGAGCAGGGATATGGCTGTGTTAGCGTGTAGTAGCTGTTTAATTGTCAGGCCTTGGAAAATGAATGTAGAATTAATTTAACTTTCTAGGCATGCAAAACCTAGGCTTTTCAAACAGCATCAAGTAAAGGGGCAGGGGCAGTTCAAAATGTAGCTAATTGGTTTTGTTTGTTTGTTTTTTTCAGAGGAAGGTTTATTGCAGTGTGAAGGACTAAAATTTGAATCTGGAATAGCTGAAGTGTTCTGCTCCCTCCCCCTCTACAAAGAGATGGGACAGTTAAGGATGCCCTTACTGAGTATTGAAGGCCTTTTCCCTGCCATGGGGCTTTGGAACTTGGGGTGTTTCCTGGGTACAGAGCCTTTCTTTGGCTTGCAAAGATGATTCCTCACCAGATGAGCAACACTATTTCCTATCCCAATGAATTGTTTGAAAAGAAGCCAGATGATTTTTGGGGCAGATGTAGATGAACTACAAAGATGGAGATGAAACAATGACAAATGATGATGTATAATATTTTAAAGGAATTTTGTCAGGAAACATGTTATCTATCTGAAAGTAATTGTGGTGTTTCTATTATGTGAGAGAGATTGTGTATGTTTTTGTCTTTATTCTAATTTATTCACCTTGTGTGCAGCCATTCTTAATAAGGCAGTTCTCTGCTGTGTGTGGTGAATTTGTATCCACAGAGGAGCAAAACAGACAGTAGTGGTTTTGAACGTTATCAGATGTTTTCAGTGATTCAGAATTAGGAAGGTCTGCAGGGAGGATTTCTCTGACAACTTAAACAATACTTAGACTAGTCAAACAAGCTTGAAGGGCCTGAACCTTGCTTGTCCTACGTGCCCAGAGGGCCTGAGCAGTCATCGTGATTGCAAGGCAAAGTAGAATTGAGTGTGTGCTGCTCAGTATGATGATTTGGTCTTGTTTGCAGCACAGATGCAAGCCGGCATGCTCAGGCTGCAGTTCTGGAAAGACCAAACATTCTCTGGAGGCTCACCTGACATTTCCTGGCCTAGATATCCTAAGCAGTGCCCACTTCATTGGCAGGACTTACCTGGAGTGGAGAGGTGTCCAAGGGGGATGCTGTGACATGCCAACCCCAAGGCTTGTCAGTGGCGCTGATATAATTCCCTCCATTTATGTTTGCTGCTGCTAATTTTTATGAGAACCTGTAGTGTTTTAATACAAATTCATGTTACCTTAGAAAAATTGAGGCATTCAGTGTTGAAGGATACAGTCCTTATTTTTGTGCAGTTTGGGTTGCATGTATTTAGTTACTCTTTCCTAGAAGAGCAGAAAGGTACCTCACAAAAATCATGCCTCTTATCTTTGTTTTAGACCCTTTTCCAGATTGAAAGGTCAAGCAGTATTTTAGGCTTAATGTGGAGCTCAATAAATTGTTCTGTTAATGGTAGGATTGCCTTTACTAACTTCTACCCTGCTGTCTAGACAAAACTGATAATGATTACTTGCATAAATACCTTTAGCCTCATCCTGTTAAATTTTCTGTTGCAATAATCTTATTCCCTCTGGTCGTTTGAAAGCTTAATAATAATTCGTTTCTACAGTTATATTAGAGTATATTATTATTGCAGCATAATTCCCCTCTCCAATGACTAAATGAGTATTTAAAGAGTTGGTGGAAGAAGTTGGATTTCTGTTTTGATAACCCTGTTGTCATCCAATTCTTCAGCATTTTCTTCCATTTTGCTGACGATGGTGTCTAATTTGCTTTAACCTCTATACACTAATGGCTGTAGTGATGAAATAAAAACTTCCTTGAATAGTTTCAAGTCCAAAACTGCAAGTCTTTGGCCTTGCATGGAGCTTAACAGTTAAGCCACAACAAATTAAGTTCAAGACATCAGGCTGAGGCAAATCACACAGTGACAGCAAATGAGTACGTTTTCCTTCAGGCATTTAATTTGATTATTTAATGAGTTGTGCTGAAAACCATAGAAATGAGGGCTTAGTCTTGCAGCATTCTCTGTTAGCTTGTATTTGCTAGCACGATATGGGATGCGGGATTTCCCAAAAGCCTTGTAATTCAGCATCTGCAGTTAAGCTGTATTTTTGCCTGGTTTTTATCTCTTCTACCTACCTGTTTTTTTTTTTTTTTTTTTTTTTTTTTTTTTTTTTTTTTTTTTTTTTTTTTTTTTTTTTTTTTTTTTTTTTTTTTTTTTTTTTTTTTTTTTTTTTTTTTTTTTTTTTTTTTTTTTTTTTTTTTTTTTTTTTCTTTTCCTACTCAGGAGTGTGAGGAAGGGGAGACCTTGTTTTAGCTTCAGCTGCTAAATTGTTTGGCAGCTGGCACCTTTTGTGCTATCTAGAGGCTGTATGAAGCCTCTAGTTTCCAGTGTTTCAGCCCCCTTATGTGGACAAGAGCAGATATCTCTCAGAACCTGTGGTAGGCATTAGTCACAGTGTTGTCAAGACCGGCCACTATTGAGACCTAAAGCCCACTGCTGTGACTTGTCCTACAAAGACTCCAAGTCACTGTAGACTGCTGGAAAGGTTTATGTGCAGACAAATCTGTTGTGTAAGAGAATAATCTTGTTTCTGAAGTAGAGATGCTGCAGAGAGAAGGCCAGATTTCTTGTGTAGCTTTATATATGTGCTGGGAAGTGGGGGTTTTGTGTGTTTCGTTTTGCTTTCTTTTCAGCTGGAAGTGTTTCAGTGCACGTGTCTCAAGGGTCCATGGCCTGAGGAAACACAAGCAGCCACGTCTCATACTGCAGTAATGAGGACAAATGAGATATGTTCCTTCCTGAAGGGGATGAATCCAGACAGCTGTCTGCTTAGGCATGATTTCTCCTCTGCTGCTTTAAGGGTGCAGGCAGTGGAGGGAGAAGTGCCTCTAGAAGGATTGTCTGACCAGACCTAGTCTGGAAGTAGCTGGAACAGGGTAATTGCTTTGTTAAGCAGCTTAATTAATCAATGAAATGTAGTCACTTCTTGTATAAGTGGCTGGGACTTTGGGAATGAAGAGCAACTCTGGGGAAAGAAGAACTGGAATGACGTGTCGACACAATGTCTTTTCAATTAAATATGTTCAGACTGTGATTTCTTGGGCAGAATTCAAGTGGAAGATCTAGCCCCTAGGTTTTGAGTTCTTAATGTTCTGTGTTTTACATGAATTTATGTTATTTGCTTGGGGCTTTCGAGTGTCATAGTAATTAAAAAAAAAAAATTGGAAACAGGTGGTGTTTGTTCTGGATCATAGTAGGGGACAAGAATGCCAATAACACTCTCTTCCCTTGCTAGATCTGGACAAATGACAAGATGTCCAGTTTTACTCTGGTTGGAACTTCTTGTACAAAAGATCATGATTACTTCATTCTCTTCAAATCCTTCTTTAAAACTCCCTCCTCTGCTGCAACAGTTGCTAAAACTGATGCTGAGGTGCTATTACTACAAACTATCAAACCAGTTAGCGTTCTCTTTGCCTAAGGTTCTGTCTCCTACTTCAGGTCGTCAGCGTTTTGGATGTGTGAAGGGGACCTCCTCAATCAGAGCATCATGTGCTAGAGACTTAGGACAGGGAGGGTTCCCAGCCCTCCTGGTGTTGGGAAGGGGTATGTGTGTAACAGTCGGACTTTTCTATAAATGGTGACAAATTATTTGAAAAGAAGAATGTTTAGTTTCCAAATTGAGTGTTATAATGCTCAATTATAACATTAGAATACAAAGTCCAAATGAGGACTGTGTTGCATGGTAGTCTGTGTACTGTCACTAGGATTTTGTGGTGAATTGCACTCACTTTTGAGTTTCCCTTTAAATTGTGTGAAATCTGAACAGGTCAGCACTCACCCTAGTTTTGCTTCCTTTTTTTCCCCCCTTTCTCTCAGGGCAATTTGTGAAGACATTGCCAGAATACCATGTGGTTGATCCAGCAAGAGTAGATGCAAGTGGGCATTTTCTTTCATTTAACCTGCACCATCACATCTCAAACACGAGGAAGAAGAGAGATCTCGGGAAAAATGAAAATGTTGTATATTACAAAATTAGTCATGAGGAGAAGGATCTGTTTTTTAATTTGACTGTCCACGTGGGATTTCTTTCCCATAACTATGTAGTAGAAAGGAGACGTGGCAACCACACTAGTGCGAAGATTGCAACTCACTCAGGAGCTCCTTGCCACTTCCTTGGCACAGCATGGCAGCCAGGTTTTGAGAGTGGGACAGCAGCAATCAGCACTTGCAATGGCCTGGTAAGTGATGTGACCTTTACTGGGGTTCTGGGCTAATTTTGCTGTCATTCCAACTTGGCTGGGGCACTGGTGTATGAATATACATATGTTAAGAAGCTGTATGAGCCAATGTGATACCTTACTGATATAATGCTGAGAGAGAATCAGTTTAATTCTATGTATGTCATTTGAATTTTTGGAAGAGAGAATCAGAAGGTCAAAAGTTGATGCTGAGGCCCTTTAGCATTTACTTTTAGCTAGTTTTTTTTTTTTTTTTTTTTTTTTTTTTTTTTTTTTTTTTTTTTTTTTTTTTTTTTTTTTTTTTTTTTTTTTTTTTTTTTTTGGTGGTCTGGACTGAACACCTCTATCAGTCGTGCAGTTTGAAACCATCCAAATATTGAGTCATTGCTTTGATTCCATTAGTAGCTGGAGTGCCTTTACAGTGCATCTGGATGTGACCTTCTGTTCTATTTTCCTCTGAAGGAACGCAGCTCAGGTGCACTGATACTGCTCAGTGAATCAAATCCACTGATGGTATGTTGGGAAAACTCAGTGACTTACTCCAGAACCGCACTGCATCTTCAGATATAAATGGTAGGTTAGATGCAACCTTAGCCAGAGCTTCAAATTCAAGCCTGAAGCACTGCTAGGCATCTCTCACTTCAAAGAGCACTTAAGGCTGGAACTTGAAGTCGAACATTTCTCAATATCCTGTGGTTCACACTGAGATAAGGGGATGGAAACCTTATTTTTTTTCCATGCTTTGTGTTTTTCTTTTCTGTCACAGCCATAGATTAAGTTTCTGTTTCTAGAGCACAAGGCTGAGTATGTCTTGTCAGGGAGGGGAAGAAGAGACAAGCTAGGGACTTGATGGCTCATTTTTGAGTCTGAACACCAAGGTAAGTGTGTTCCAAGTACAGCCTTTCCCTGCCAACCTGTCAGTATCAAAGTGCGTTCCTTGCTGTTGAGCTGTATGAAGCATTCAGAAACTATGGAAAGTCATCATTCTGACAGTGTACGAAAAGCAATATGAAAACAACTCTGGTATAAATGAAATGGGAACCTCCGGAGTCTTACACAAGTGCTGATAACACTTTTGGCACGTTGCCAGGACAAACAGACCATTTCTTGAGGTCAGAAGCTTCAGTCCCACAGGCATGAAGGTCAGGAATTTTCCAAGTAATATTTCCAGTGGGGACCAACTTATGAAAATTTTCCTGAAACTCGTTACAGTGATGCAAGGTCAGTAAGGAAAAGGACAACAAGTAGTTCCTTTGGTTCGTTTGTGCTCTACCAGAATGTCTTTGTTATTTTGCCTTAGGATGAGAACTTGAAAATGAGCTGCTAGATCTTCATTATGCCTTCTGAATATTTAGTCTCTAACAAGGATTAAAAAACCAAAACTCAAATTGCATTTTAAATTCAACTCTGCAATATCATTAAAAGTGATGCTTTTACTTGGATTGCAAATGTTTTGAGTTTTTTATTTTGATTTGAAGGTTTTTGTCAAAACACCTTTCTTGTATTAGAAAAATGATATTGTGGGGGGTTTTCCTTCCTATCCTGAAATTAAACGTTGAAAATATATAATAATATTTATTATATTATTTATAATATATATTTATAATATTATACATTATTATTAATATATAATAATAAATTAGTTCAGGTTGAATTCATAGATTTTACCTCTGGGTAAAAGTGTGATGATTTTTATGTGATGGTTTTTGAAGTCCAGAAGTTACTGCTCTGAAAGGGTTGCAATAGGAGTTGGGTCTGTATCTCTTGATTCTTCCATGTGGTACAAGCTGGGGAAAGGTGATTTAGCTTGCTTTTCTCCTGAAAGTTATCCAAAATATCCAGTACCATCTGAAAGTGTTTATTAATGAATAGTTTTGCCCGCATTGAGTAATGTGTCCTGGTTTTTAGAATAAAAACGTGACATTTCTGAAACTTCTTTGTGATGGTCTGCTACTTTCTAAGCTCTAGTGGTGATTTATTTTCATCCTGGTGATCCAAAACTTTTTTACTCTTCAGCATCAATTCCATTTTTACATTCCACCCCCTCCCCTGGAATGCTTTGTGGCTTTTTGCATTGAAAAGATTTTTTTCTGTTTATTCTTATAAAAGGGGGAAGAACTGAGGATAGGTAAACACCATGGAACTAGAGCAGTTTTTTTGAGATATTAAACATGTATCCCATGAAGAGAAATGGTAAACTTGTTTACTGTAGCAGATGAAAGTACTTGATAAAAAAAGTTGTGTAAAGCAACGAGTTGCATAGGGCATGCTTATAAGGATCCTTGGGGCTGAGATGGGAAGATAAAACAGTGTGTTTGAAAGGTGCCAGCTTCATGGAATGTGCTTTGGCAGCAGTGGCTGCTGCACCTGTGACCACCTGGGTCAGGACTGTACTCTGAGTGTGTGCCTTGGCAAAGGGGTCCCCAATAAAACATAGCTTCTCATTCCGGCACTACAAGCTGAAAGAGTGCTGATGTGGTCATAACTGGTGAAAACCAATATTTCAGCTTTCAAATACAGGGATCAGGAACATTAGTGATGGCTCTTCCCTGATGCTGTTTTGGCTTGAGAGCCACATGTAACAGAGAGCCAAATGTATAAAATGAAAAACATATTGTACTTTGTTGTTGTTGTTGTTGTTGAGATAGTCTTTAATAGGCTCAATGAAGCACCAATTTACTGTGGTAATGAGTGACACAGGAAACTGTTTGATCTCTAAGCTTGTAATTTTTGGCTTTCTTAGCCACAGGAGATGATAAAAAATTATAATACTGGAAAATACTGATTTGATTAAATAAGTATGTTTTATGGAATATCTCTTTTGTTGATATTTTTAGTGTGAAATGGTTGCATTACTGTTTTGTAATTTTGTCCAAGTGAATTGCTTGTGTCATATTTTTCAATGCTGTTGCCCCCCACCCCCGTTTAAAAATGACAGCCTAAATTGGGGCCAAAATTTATTTTAAAGTAAAAATCTAAACACACCTCTGGGAAGGGAAAGTTAGTTTTAGTCCTCTTTCTGTAATGACTTCCTCCCTTGTCAAGTCTGTTCTGGTTTGTATTTGACAGTTTCATAATTTCCAGGAAAATAGCAGTGTATAAGAACCAAACAAAGACGCGGGGTGTAGGCTTGTGTTTGTCATAAAAATTGCTCACACACTGCACTGAAACCACTGAAAATCTAGAAATGGATTTTCATCTCTCTTACATTTTCACTTTGAAATGTATTCCTACTTCCATTGACCATTACATAGGCATCGCTAATGTATTCGTCTGTTCCCAAAATGGCCTGCAGGGGAAATAACAGAGTGACAGTTTTGAGATGTATGAATGGGCGGGACAGCCATTGCGTGACTTCGTTCTTTTTTAAAAATACAACTGTGTCTCTTATTTTTCATAAGTAAAGATGGAAAAAATGTGATTCATAAAGGGATTTGGGCAGAACTGGATAAGAGTACAGAGAATAAACTAGCAGAAATCTGGAGAAACGAAGCTGTATTTTTCAAATCTGCTTTTTTCTAACGCTTTGTCAGATCTTAGTTTGCCGTTTAGGTGAAATAGATCATGACCTTCTTAACAGGTTGAAGAACCTGATGCTGTAAGCTCTGCCTCTTCCTCTCTGGGTTAGTTGTTTAGTAAAGTCTTTTTGCACTTCTGAGCCTTGTTGAATAATGCATGAGACTGTTAACATGGGAAGAGTGGGAGAGACCTTGCTGTTTATTTTGGGTCACAGTTGGAGGAGGGAACCCCAGGGAGGGAGTCACTAGCAGAACACAAGAAAGGTATCAAACTGTGGCACTTGGAAGGAGAGCAGACATGAAATCACTTAGATACAGGAAAATTTCCAAGATGAAGTAAAGGGAGAAAATAGATTAGGTTTTTTGTCTTTGAAAATAATATTTGGATTGGCTGTTCTACCAGGCTATTTAGGGCACACTTCTAATAATGCTACAAGTTTCCACAGTACCTTTCCACAGAAGGCTATAATGAACTTTTCCAGATACTAATGCCTTACTTGTCAGTTGTGTGTGAGTCCTGAGGTCCCTTGTGTTGCAGCTTGTCCCCTCAGTAGGGCTGGGAGGGAGCAAAGCCCAGTGAAGTTGAATGAATACCCTAGGTTTATGCACTGAATCCTATAGAGCCGGGAAGTGAATTTTCCTCTGATAGTCTATCCTCTTCATTAGGAACAAGGCCCTCTTTTATCCATCAGTAACACAGACATTGTTTATAGTATTTTTAGATGACAGAGCATCATTAAGGCTTTGTTTCCTTGACACTTGTTTACAGTGTAGAGCTGTTAATCAACAGTTGCTTCTGGTAATACGTTTATCTTCAAAGGCTGTGCAAGCATGAGCATGGAAAAGGCCGAAGAATGAAAGGACATTAGTATGGAAATTGGGAGTGATCTGTTCACTTGTACCTGGTAAGCTCCTGGCCATACAGGTCCTGTGGACAGATTGAGCTTTGGCTGTCTCCAGCTAGTCAGGGGGTTGTCTCTGTCCTGATGGGCATCAGCGTTTTCAAGAAGTGCTGGATGCCTTTGAAAACCAGATACCTTTGCCCAGGATTTTTGAAAAGTTTGGTCCACCTCAGTTCTTCTTGCTGTGCCAAGCCACAGTCAGGCCAGCCCTTTGTGAACCTTTAACTGGTGGCTGTGTGACTGTTTATGTAGTAGCTGGTAGGAGATGCTCCAAGGGGGACCTCTCTGGGCATGTCTTACCTGCCCTGACATGTGTGACATGAAGTGGAATAGTGGCTGAATTCTGCTTGAAAGTAACTATTCTCCTTATTGCAGGATATCACCGTTATATGAAGCTCAGAATGAACTCTGGTACTCATGCAGTGTCCCCTGTACTCTTAATGTAGTCCACTCAGTGTAGCATAAAATCTACCAACAACATTTTGTCTTTCGCATCAGTTTTGGGGAATTCAGCACCGTCTCTGTTCTCCTGCTACATGCCAGGAAGCTTTTCTAGATAGTGTGAGATACTTTTTTCATG